GTCTTGCCCGCTGCTCCCCTCAGCAGTGTATTTCGGTCCATCTCCCTGTTCTGCTCCCTGCTCTATCTTTGGTGAATCCTCTCACCCTCCCATGCCTCTGGCCTGTACCCCAGCTCTTGCATAAAAATAAATAAATCTTAAAAAAAAAAAAACTATTAGACATCGTTAAAAGAAGTAAAAGACACACAGAAGTGGAAAGATATAATGGATGGTGTCATTTATATGTGGAATATAGAGAAACCAAACAATGGATCATGCAACATTGATTTAAAAACTAACCCTTGAAAGCTGACTATAAAACTGAGGAATCAGAGGGTGTGTGTGGGGGGTGGGCAGGTAAAGTGGGAAGGAAGCACAATGGACAACGGACTGTGGTGGTGCACTATGGTCACAACACCTGAAAAACTCGGGGGTCACCCTATACTTCCAAAATACTAAGAACAATGTAAACCAACATTACCTTAGTAAAAAAAAAAAATAAGGTCCAGTGCTGGTGAGGGAGGGGTGATTTATGCACTGCTGTTATGAGTGCAAATTAACACAGCATTTCTAGAGAGAAAATTTGAAATGTGTGTGAATATCCTTAAAAGTGTTCTAATACCTTGTAGTTATTTTATTTCTGGGAATAGATCCTGAGGAAATCACGAGAAATGCAATGAAGATTCACCTCTAAGGATGTTAGTCACATTATTATTTATGATTGCGAAATTTGGTAGATAATCTGTACTTCTTTATTTTCAATTACAGTTTATTTGAGTTTAAACATTATAATATTTGAATATGTTCTTACTGTGAAGTTCAAACAATACTGAAGTATATAGAGGAATTCTGCTTTTGGCAACGTGGTAAACTAGATGACCTGGAAAACCTTCCTGTGAAGACATTTAACAATGACAAATATGATTGTTAAGGAAACCTTCTAAGTGCATAGTTGAATTGGCAAGAGACAAGGAGAAATTATAGAGGTTGCAAAGGAAATGGAATAGCAATTCAGATAAGTTAAGATGAAGCTGAGAGTAGTCCGAGGACAAGAGGTCATGGCAAACAAGGACGGCCAGGTTCATGGCTGTTGGATAAACCCAACATAACACCACAAGAAGCCACTTTGAGCCTGACAGGATGGCAAATGTTTTAAAATTCTAAACCTATCAAGGGTTGGAATAGGTGTATAAAGCAACACAGAGACAGGAGGGCGGTATTTCCACTTAGGAAGACAGCCTGGTGTGAAGCTTGAAACCTACAAACTCTGTGACCCGGGTATGTGCCAGCGAACCAGAAGGCAGCTCCTGACAAACGGGGGACACTCCTGAAGTCCCACACCAGGGGAATGGAGGGAGAGACTGTACATGCAGAAGTGACGACTGGGGAGTAAGTGACAGCTAGCGGCGTCTGCCAAAGCTAAATTCACGAAGCTGAAAGGAAAAAAAGGCAGGTCTCAGAAAAACACATAACCGAGATTTATCTGAAGTCAAAAAACATGCAATACTACCAGTAGGTTGTTTAGGCTTAAATGTAACTATAGTAAAATCAGAAAAGAAAGTGAATAAAGACAGGGCCTCCCCAGTGGCACAGCGCGTGGAGCACTGCGCTGTGATGCTGTCCGCAGTCTCTGCAGTGTCGGTTCGATCCCCACTGGCTGGCAAGAATCCCACATGGCGCAGCAGACCTCTCCTGTTGTGCCTGCTGCTGCCCTCAGCAGTGTATTTCTGTCATCTGCCTGTTCTGCTCCCTGTTCTGTCTCTGGTGAGTCCTCTCACCCTCCCGCGCCTCTGGCCTGTACCCCAGCTCTTATATAAAGAAAAAATAAATCTTTAAAAAAAAAAAGCTAACAAAAACAAATTGGGTGAGTGTTCTCCTTTGATTAGGACTTCGGTGGTATTGGAAGTCCTACATCTTAAACTGGGCGCAGGTATATATGTACTATTTTATTATTCATATATGACAAACACTGGAATGATGAGAAGCATTTTATAATCATGAAGCATTTTATAATTACAATGTTAGAAAAAAATGTTAGATTGTAAGAAAAAATGTTCTTAAACACCTAAAATTTTTTAGGTGGTAGAATTGTGGGTAAATTTCATTTTCTTCTTTGTACTTCTTTGAATGTTTTTAAAAAATTTACAGTGAATATGTTATTTTTATTTTATAATTGTTCTTTTATTATAAAATATTTCAAATGTGCAGAAAAATACTTAGAATATAGACCAAACACTGAAGTATTTGTCACCCTGACTAAACAAATCTTGAGATGTTGCCAAATTTCTCTGATTTTTATTTTTTTAGAAAGAAAATAAGACAGAAAAATTGGAAGCCATCCTGTGGGCTCACTGGATCCTCTCTCAGAGACAGCCTGATTCTCAACTGAGGGTCCATTCCTGTCCATATTTTACATTGTTATTCTATATGCACATCCCTAAAACGATATACTGTAAGGGACACATCACCCAAAGCAGTGATAGTGAAGGCAAAGATAAACAGCTGGGACTACATCAAATTTAAGAGCTTCTGCACAGCAAAAGAGACAATAACAAAAACAAAGAGAAACCCCACCGACTGGGAGAACATTTTTGCACACAACACTAATGATAAAGGACTGATCACAAAAATCTACAAAGAGCTGATGAGACTCAATAAAAACAAAGAAAATAATCCAGTCAAAAAATGGGCAGAAGAGCTAAAAAGAAACTTCTCTGAAGAGGAAATGCAAATGGCCACCAGACATATGAAAAAATGTTCAATATCACTTGTAATCAGGGAAATGCAAATCAAAACTACCATGAGATACCATCTCACACCAGTGAGAATGGCACATATTAAATAAACTAGCAACAACAAATATTGGCGAGGATGCGGAGAAAAAGGAACTCTCCTGCACTGTTGGTGGGAGTGCAAACTGGTCCAACCACTATGGAGAGCTGTGTGGAGATTTCTGGACCTACTAAACATAGAGCTTCCATATGATCCAGCAATTCCACTCCTAGGTATTTACCCAAAGGACACAGAAACATCAATTCCAAAGAGCACCTGCACTCCTATATTTATAGCAGCACAATTTACAATAGCTTAGCTTTGAAAACAACCCAAATGCCCAAAAACAGATGACTGGATCAAGAAGATGTGGTACATACACACCATGGAATATTACTCAGCATTTGAAAAAGATAAACACATGCAATTTACAGCAACATGGATGGCGCTGGAAGGGATCATGCTCAGCGAAATAAGCCAGAAAGACAAAGAAAAATACCGGATGGTCTCACTCATAGCAGGAATCTAGAAAACTTAAATAAGGGACCAGGAAAAAGAATAACTATAAGAAAGAAATATCAAAATCAACAAACAACTATGAACCAGAGACACTCTATGGGGGGTGGGGGGTGGGGAAAGGAGGGCTTGGGGTCAAAATAAGGGGGTTGTGATTGTATGGGGAATATAAAAATAAAATTTAAATAAAAAAATAATAAAAAAACAAAAAAAAAAGGATATACTGTAAGGTTGGTCAAGTATACATAAACATTTTCAAACTGCATATTCTTCTGCAACTTGCTTCTTTACACTCAACAGATGTTTGTGAGAGTTATTCATGTTGACACATGTAGATTCCCTTCATATTTTAGTTTCTATAGTGTTTTCTGCTGTATGAGCAGCCCATAATTCCCCTTCCTATTGCATTATTGATGGGCATTTGTAATGTTGCCAGTTCTTTTTTCCTGGCTATTAAAGGAGTCCTGCCACAACTATCCTTGTGTACTCTGTGCACACATGTGAAATCTCTCTAGGGTGTGAGACTGGAAGTGAAGAACCTCCAGATTACAGGTTACACGTCTGCCCTACCTGACACTGCCACATGTTTTCCAAAGGGATCACACTTACCTAGAACACAAAGCAATATATCTGGGGGTCCCTAGCAGTTGAGATTAGGTAGATACCATATTTGAGAGCTGATCTGATCTGGAGAATACACCATACTTGCTGCTCTTCTTTTAAATGCCCAATTTAAGTAGTTTGGGCCTTGGGTTCTCTTCCTCCATGGAAAGAAGGCCATTTCCAGCAGCTCCTGGCCTGGCCCAGACTACTACCACAGTCTCAGCTCAATCTATGCCTCCACAGGCAAAAGGCATTTTGTTTTGGCTGAGTGGACACCCCTTCCTTTTTTCCAGGCCTTGGAAGCCCTTATCCTTGGGATCCAGCTGGAAAGCTGCTGCCCATCCACCCAGATCCTACTGCCCAGAAGGAGCTGCCTGCAGAGCCCTTGGTGACACCTCTGTCATGTCACTTGTCAGGTAGGGTTATGGTGCCTCTCCCTCATGGTACTGTGGACATCTGCAGGCTGGGCACATTCTACTTACTGCTCACTTCCCACTCTGCATATGACGCCTGGCGTATAGAAAGCCCTTAATCTGTCAGGGTGAAACGGTGAATAAATAAAGGAATGGACCATTTTTTAAAATAAAATGTGCTGCCTTTGGGGAATAGAAAAAAATTAAGGCTTTTCATCAATGTTTCAGGATTATTCTTCTGAATGAAAAGTTAAAAGTAAACAATTTCCCTGGGACCAAAGACATGCAATTCACTCAAGCAGCTTCTTAAAAGGATTAGGTGCAAGTACTGTAGTGGAAGAAAGATGTTTCCAGGAACTTGATAGCAAAGCCCAGGTCTCTATCTTCTATGAAAAACTGGCTTGTTGTTTTCCAGAAACACATCAAAATAGCCTGGTTATTTCAGAGCTGAAGGGAAGGTCAATTACATATGATATTGCTATGAACCCCAAACAAATGGAAGAAATTCTAGGTTAACAAAATGTAAATTTCAGCCTGCCAGAAAACCTTAGCGCACGGTTCACGAAACAGCAGAGGGTCTCCAACCTCTCAGAAAGGGCTAGGCTGCTGTAGACAGAATCTTGTTTTTGTTTTATCTCTCAGAGATCTAATAAAACCAGAAGAAATCAATCTAACTGTTATTTCTCTGCGATCCCTTTACTACTGCCGCTCCCTTACCCAGAATGATGCCGTTGGGCTCTTCTGGGGGCTGCCACACGATCCGCACTGACGTGAGCCGAACTTCGGGGAACACCAGCCTCACCGGTGGGCCTGGGGCTGAAGGGGAAGAAACATACCATGATCTGGACACTGATACAATGTTATATGGGCCCGTGTCAAGATGAAGGGGGTTCTGTGGGCGAGCGGAGCATGGTGACGACCATGGCTGACACTGACTGTGGATGAAACATTCTAAGTTTTGGCAGAATGACTTTTGGAATCTAACTGGCTAATAATTTTGAAGAAACACCCCTCATTTTGATTCCTGCCCACCCGCTTTTCTGAATTTCCTCATCAGCACTCATAAACAATGCTGGAAATAGTGTGCTAGTTGCAGGAAAGCTGTCACTGAATGATGGCCTAGAGTGGATCAAGTACATCAAGCTGAGAGGAAAGATTTCACCAAGCTGAGCTCAGATTCCTTTCCTGGGGCTTTAGGTACATAAAGTGGTCTAAAATCCCTCCCAATTCTACATGGAGGTTATGATGGCGATAAAACAACATGTTTCTCATCAGAGATTCCCGCCCCCACCCCCTTATGCACACTATCTCTCTCCTGTGTTGTCCTAGAAAATTAAGTCTGGCCATGCACAAATGCATATAATTCTTTTGCAGGCCACGGTGCACCAATACTTCAAAAAGCAGTTATGTACTGTGGTACTATTGAATATAGTGCCATAGTCCTTCTAAAACACATTCACTTAAGTGGAGAGGTGAGCTAGTGTGTGGCCAGAATCAGGACTTCTTGTTGGAACTTATTAACTGATTGACTCCTAGATAGGAGGCAATGGGCATGAACAATCAATACAAAAATAAAATGGTATGCGTTCTTGTCATGCCAGGGCTGTTGAATTCTGCCTCTAGCTATTAAACTGAGAACAATATTTAAAATTTTAAACATGCATTATGACTACTATAATGGGGTAAAATAAATGCCAGGAGGACGCCACAAGCCAGGACCCAATGCTGACATAATCCCATGTGACAACACCCCCATCCCCAAAGCCATTCAGTACCAATCATTTGATGAATTTGAAAGGAGGGGTGGAAAAAACATGTCTCTGTTAGGAGTGGGAGAGAAGAAAAAAAACTGTTCTGTGATGTTGGAAGAAACAATTGTAATTGACTGAGTTTGAGGAGCAGTTTCTAAAATGGTCCTTTGACTTTTCAGTTGTGTAACCCGGATACCCTAACGCTTTACAAGGTTTTGCAAAGAAACAACCTCAGGTCACGCTTGTCCTCTCAGAGGCCCACTGGCCCTGCAACTGCTTGTTTCTGGAGGACAAAGTTTTGCAGAGCTTCTTCCAGCCACCGACCCATAAAACAGAGAGGACAGGTTCAAGTCAGCTAGAGTACATTTGGGGGCTAATTACTTAGTAAAGATGCTTAAGAAAACCCACAGTTGTTTCGCCTGTCAGATGGTTCTGGTCCCTGAGGAGAATAGCATTTACCACCCCTGCCACCGACATATTAGTTATAGTCTTTTCAATAATGAAAATGTGAAGGAGTTAACCTTTGAGTGTTTGATAGCTGCAAAGTGGAGAAACATATTTACTGATGATCTAGACTTCTATAAACACAAAGCCATCAAGTGCACTTGTTATTCAGGCCTGGAAACAGGGGTCTGGGCACCCTGGGAGCCTGAAAACACTGCACTCTGGATGGAAACGTCTAATTACCTCGTATTATGCAAATGGCAAGAGCTGGGCAGCACCAAGAGAATCGGGCACACAGGCCGGGAGTGGAGTTTTAACTAGATTTGTGCAGACATCACCAAGAGGAGCAGCCTCACGTTTTATGGCCCCGGCCCACCGGCCTTTATTGCACTGCCTATTGCAGAGTTACGATGAAATTCTGCACAGGTTCATAATTAGGCTGTAAAAATTCACTCCAGGCTGAGATTGGCCATATAAATGCTCAGCGACTGAAAGACAATTTTGTTTTGTTTTCCTCAACTGAAAAAAAAGAAGTGGTTTGAAAATTAAGTTAAAAATGACAGCCACCCAAATGGTTTGGATTGTTAAAAGCGACATGGGAGGCCAGCGAAGGCTTGGAGAATAAACATACCGTCATCTTTGGTTCGCTCTAGGAGGAGGGGCGAGCTGGGGACCCCATTCCCGATGCGGGTGAAGGCCAGCACCTGGAGCTCATACAGCACAAACTTCCGCAGGCCTGCCAGCAACGCAGACTGCGTATGGTTCCCTCGCACGACGTGACTTCGGAGCTCAGAGTCCAGATCTTTGGCCCGGAACAGGATCTGAAGCATCGACACACACGCGCAGTGGTGATGAGCATGTGACGTGTCAGGGAGGGATCTCGGCAGGTGTGGGGGGCTCGCAACTGCAGGCGAGGACCAGGACGGCTATGCTGAAGGCTGAGGCACCAATTTATATAAGCTGTTTTGGGGGAAGATGGTGATGCTGTGCTCCAGCGTAGCGGGGTAGCTGGAGTTATGACCCAGTTCATGGCTGCATGAGCTGGCTGCCTTGCCAGAATTTGCAGGGTCGGAGGGCCCCAACGGCGGGCCTCAATTATAACAGAGACAGTCTGCTTCCCAAGAAAGGAGCCAGCGGCCCACTCGGTTTCCCGGCTTAAAAGAGAAGCTGCTCTCTGGCATGCCTATACCATATTCTGCTGCCCACACCACACACAGTCATCCTAATGCCCACCTGCTCCTCAGCTCCTAAGTCCTTGCAATAAGCTCGCCCTCTCCAACCTATTCCCTAGGATCAGAGACCCCAAAGATTGTAAAAGATGGGGTCATCAGGGAGAAGCTTAAAAATAGCACAGCAATATTTTTCTCTAGGACCCAGGTATGGGATGGGTCCCCTCAGTAGCATTGTCTAATAGGCCTCATGTCCGATGGGGCCAGAGTGAGTGATTAGAATATCCAAGGCAGGGGAAGCATGAGAACAGGTGGAAGAAGCAGAGACTGGGGTATAAGTTATGGAAAGTGCAGTGGAGATGTGCACATGAGACAAGCGTGGCCTTGCTGGCCAAATCCAGAAATGTTCATTCTGTAGTTTGGTGGGGGTGCTGGGGAGCAGAAGGGGGAAACAGTGCTAGTCACTGCAGTGATGGAACAAGAGCACAGGTAAAGACTACCCCAGAGATGGCGCGCCAAGAGGCTGGGGTGCTCAGTCCTACAGTGATGCAGGATGACAGGGAGGTAGCGAGGAAGGACAGACCTGCATGCTTTTATACAGTTACACTTATTCGGCACTTGGCATGAAACAATAACCCGCTTCATTCCCACAGCCTCCTGCAAGGCAGTGACGGTCATTACTCCCAGACTGCAAGTGAGACAACAGGTTCAGACTTCAAGTAGCCGCTGCCATGGTGTGTGGTTTTGGCACAAGGTAAGAGGTCGTGCAGGTGCCTGATTCCCCCTCTAACTCCCCCAGGCTGGAGTGAGGCTTAGACTGGCATCTCAGAGCTGCCAGAGCTACTGTTCTATGAAAGATACAAGCTCACTGGGGGAGTGACGTGCAGCAGCCCCTTCACGGTGCAAACACAGGAGGGTCTCTGGAACATACCTTGTAACCCAGTATGAGCCCATTTTGATCCTGTTCAGGCACCGAAGCCCATGTCAGTAAAATTTGGGTGGAGCTGACAGCCTCAGCTGACACGTTTTCAGGTGCGGCTGAAGGAACTGCAAAGAAAGAGTTAAACAGATTGGTACCAAAAGTCTAAAGGCTTCTACAAAGAGAGGTCTAATTTTTACCCAAATAATCAAGTTGTCCTTGAAATAGCAATGTATTCTGAGCATTTTGCAGTGATCAGATTAAACCTGCAGGGGTATAACAGAAATGTAAATCTCTTTAATATTAGCAACAAATTCCATAAATCCTGGGTATTTAGGAGCTCAATTCTACCTGAGTCCACCCAGCAAGAAAATACGCTTGGTCTGCTTTCTGTATTAACTTGCAGGAACTGCAGACTTTCATCTCAAATGGAAATCCTCACGTTCAGATGCTGGTTCACTGACATCTCTAAATGAGGTTTGTCGTGAGGTGCTGGGTGGGGCTGGAGAGAGGAGGTAATTATCTGACCCACATGAATGGCAGGAAGGGATGGTCACTAAGTGCTGAGACATTAAGTGTCAGTTGTTTAAAGCCACCCTGTTGGGACAGTTTTTTTTTTTTTACAGTAGCCTTAGGAGATAGTCTTTAGAGACAGTCTATAAGAAAATGTGCCAGGATTAAGGCAAGTTGTTGGAAGTGCACGGTAGGGGTTGGGCCCTTGGTCCAGGTCAGCACGAGGAGTCACCAGACAAGGTGGCAGAGCGGAAAGGAAGCGGGCTCCACAGAAGGTCATAGGGAAGTTGGCAAGTTGTTGGAGAAATGCTGACTCTGGAGGGATGAAGGGGAAGGAGTTGGCCCCCACCTCTGTCCCCTCTTGTCCAGGGAGGGGAGGCCATGGAGGGCATCCTAGGAGGCACAGTCTTGGGCTGCAGCCCCCATGAAAGGGCATGCCTAGCCATGAAACCCAGGAGGCGGCAGCACGGCCCGGCCCACTTCACTATGCGGATTATTTCAGAACACGGAGGCAAGAGGCATTTCTTGCTCCTGACTCTCAAGGAACCTCTTCACATTTTTGGAGAGAGATAATGTCAGTAAGCCCACACTGGGTAGATAAAGTCTTTCTTCCCAAATATGTTCGTTGACAGTCATTTATTTGGTTATTCAGTTATTCAATAAAATAACATTAATTTATTTGCACAGATATGTGCCGCAGTAAAGCATATTTATAATTTCACGTTTACCTAGCCATCTGAAGGGGAAGGAGGCTCACTGCACTTCCCACCCTGGGTTCTCACTGGGGTTCTATGTGCCGGTCAAGGGCTCCCACCAGAGCCCTCAGTTCCACCAGGGCCCTTCCAGGACATGGCTACATGCACACTTAATGTAATAAAAAATGAGTGATAAACTGGCACCTTGAAACAACTGTGAATGAAATGGGTCACTTTCATTAAAAGAACATGAAAACCTATAATGCCCCTGACTTTATTTTCTGAGTCTGTTTGGAATAAGATGAGAATATCAGATACAATGTATGCCCAAGATATTAATGCTATATTCTAACAAACTCTGTCCCTGTCTGTAAGAAGAGAGGCCATTGTCATAGCAACAAAACCAGTCCACCTCTCAAATGCTTAACTGTTTCCTGCAGGTCAATCTTTGAAACTATAAGTGCACAGTTCTTACTATAGATCTACAAATAATAGCTGATTTTCGAAGTCGTGGTAATGCGTGCCTCCATTTACTGGAGGGCCATCCACATCCCCAAAGGACTAGGGTGACCTGGTGATGGAAGCAACTCAGACACAGCACTCAGAGCACCGCTGGAGTCTAACAAGGAGAGAGGCAGAGAAAATGGCAGTGTTCAGGATTAGAATTTCAGAGATTTAAATTCCACCTGGATAAAAGCTACCATTTAGTCACAAACAATGTTTTTAAGATTTTTTTTTTTAAAAGCCTTACTCATTATCTATTCTGAGGTAGATACAACAACTTTCCAATCTAACATCTTAAGTTCTGAAACAGTCTTAGAAATTTCCTTTCAAAACAACAACAACAAAAAAAACCCCAAAATAATGCTATTTTAGGACGCTGATTCTTTCCTTCATTTGCTCTCTCTTCTGTACAGGATTTCTTGCTGCTCAGTTCAATTCTACTTCTCATGGCATCTCTTGATTTTTAAAGCCTCATTTATCCTTATAATATATCATAATATAGCACGAGATGTCACGAAGCCAGTTAGACTGCACTTCAGAGTAAACTACATTTCAGTGTGGTTCAAAACAGTCCGCTGTGTGCCTCCTGCCCCGGGTGCCTGCCTGCACGCTGCTCCCTGACCTCCCAGCTCAGTCACTGAGTGACACCTTCTCTCTTAAAATGCTAAGCAGTGCCTGGAGGACCAGTTCTCTGAAGGGGTGGTTTCTCTGCTGGGGTGGTAAATGCTGAATGTTAGCAGGTCCAAGAGAGACAAGAAGGCAAAATTGCTGCATTAAGCAGCATGCGCCTGCCAGTGGGAGGAGCTGCCCATTAGAAGGAGGAGCTTCACAGTCAGAGGGAGGAGCTTTCCATGGCAGGAGATTCTAAAAGCTCCACTCAGAGGAGGCCTTACTGCAGCCCTACCAGACACAGCCACGATGATGGGGTGCCCAAGAATGCCCCAAGTGGTGGGTCCTAGAGGAGAGATCCACGCCAGAGGGGTGTCTGAAATGTGAACCATCTGCCTCTTGATTTGAAGACCAATAACCCTGCTATCCCATTTGTGATGAAACACCTGCTAAACCAAAATTCTTCCCAGAGAGAGAAACATAAAGTCAAGTTTACTAACCGAATAAATGTTTCCTTAGAAGTAAAAAATAATTATCTGTGAGTCATAATCTTTAAAAGAAGGAAGAATGTGCTAGCGGACAGAGCAAAGATTAAGTCACAAGTGATCTTACTCGAGATCAAAACCCTCCACAGTGCGGGAGGAACATGACAGTACTGAAGCTGTTGACCCAGTTAATTCTGCAGGGCTGCATGAGAGTCCCCCCTATCATACATATATGTATGTTTTTGTTAACTGAGGAAAAAAACCAAACCCACAATACAACATCTATACCTCAGTCTTAATTAAAACATTCCAATCCCCACAGAAATAAACAATGTTACTCATAAAAGTCTCTTCAGAGTTGTTGTGTAAGAGGTGACACAAGATTGAAGTAAAGAGAGTTAGAAGGAACCATCTGGAATGAGTTTACATAGAGTGACATCCTCTTGACTACTGTTAAAATAGCTTCTCAGCAACTGGAAAAATTTGTACAGAAATATAGTCTCAACTCAGCAATTTTTTTGCTGCTTATTTTTTGTGTGTTCCTTGAAAACATATCAAAACAATATTATTTTCCATTTTTTATTACATTTTCTTCATCTGTACATAATATTAACTCTGTTGTTTTCTAAAGGAAATACTTGAGAAGTAATTTAGCTGGGTGTAACATTTGAGGCTCACAGATCTTTTCTTTCAGCTCCTTCCAGATTATTATTCCACTCTCTTCTGGCTTCTGTTCTTGAGAACAATTACCTTTGTAGGTAAGATGTTTTTTACTCCAAATATTTTTAAGATTTCTCTTTGACTTTGATATTTGCAGCTGTGGCACAATGCAATTTGCTGTGGATTTGTGTTTGTTTATTCTCCTTGGGATTCATTCTGAAAATTCGTGTCTTCTGTTAATTCTGGAATTTCTCAACCATTATCTGTGCAAAGTTCCTCACACTCATTTCACCTCTCCTTTCTGAGTCCTATTAGATGTATTTTGGACCATTTATTCTATTCTCTGTCTTTTGACCTCTCTATCATATTTCAATCTCTGTTATTGTGCTGAATATTTTAGTTATTTGCTCATATTCAGCTTCTAGTTTGATAATTCTTTGAACGGTGTTATTTCTAATGATGGTCCTATCTTTTTGATGTAAAAATTGCTTTAAGTGGTATCTCAACCTTTACTGAAAGTTTTAATGCTTTCTTTTAATAATTGAAGACTTTAAAATGTTTCCAGCTTTATTGAGACATAAGGGACATAGAACATTATGTAAGTTTAGGTGTACACCGTGTTAATTTGATACACTTACATTTTGTAAAATGATTGCATCATGGTGGTAGCTATGTAACAACAAACACCTCCATCTCACCACATAATTACCAGTTGGTTTTTATGGTGAGAATATTAAGGGTCCATTCTCTTGGCAACTTTCAAATATATTAAGACAGTATTATTAACAATACTCATCACTTTGTACATTAGATCCCAGGAAATTATTCACCTTATAACTGGAAGTCCTTAATCATTTAAAATGCACTTCTGACATATTCCCTATCAAACTGGTATATATTTAAAGTGATTCGGCCTTCCTTTCGGCCTTCCTTCCTTTCTTCCTTCCTTCCTTCCCGATGCTTCTCCTTACTTATGGTAGATTATTTCTTTGTATGTTTGGCAACTGTGAGTTCATCATTTAAAATTCTTGGTTTTTATTTGGGACTGTGTGGCACTGGCCTGCTTCCTTTTCATTTTGCTTTCTTTTTGGAGGATTGTAAAATCTTTTCCTGCAGTATAATACGTTTAATATTTCAGAAGGAGTTCATCACTGTTTGCCCTGAGGGGAAGAAGATATCCTGCTCAGAAAGGACAGTAAGGCTCTTTGGAGTCTTCCAGTCATCGCAATGTGTACAAATTTGAACCCTACTTATTTTAGTAACAGTTTATCTGTACCAAATGAAATTAGGGGAGGTTGAGCTCTTCTTAAGGGAAAAAAAAAAAAAAAAAAAAAAACAACAAAGCAGCTTTATTGAGATATTATTAGCATAGCATACAAGTCACCTCTTGGAAGGAGACAATATGATTATTTTGTTGCATTCCTCGCTGTGCTGAGTTATATTCTGTCATGGATATCCCACATTCATCAACTGATGGACATTCAAATGTTGTTTCCACTCTGGCTGTTATTAAAATGCTGCAATCAACATCCATGCACAAGTTTTTGTGTAGACATATATTTTCCACTCTTAGGTATATATTACCTGTGAGTGGAATTACGGGGTCATATGTGTGTTTAACATACTGAGGAATTACCAGCTGCTTAAAAGTGACTGCACATTTTACATACCTACCAGTAGTATATGAGAGTCCCGATTATCTGTATCTTCACCGACACTTGCTATTGTCCATTTTTTAAAAAAAATTATCTTAGGCGTCTTAGGGCTATGAAGTAAAGTCTCACTGTGGCTTTGATTTGCATTTCCCTGATAAGTAATCATGTGCAGTGCTTTCATGTGCTCATTTGGCCATTTGTATATCTGCTTTGGGGACATGTCTGCTCAGATTCTTTACCCAGGTTTTAATTGGGTTATCTTTCATTGTGGGGTTGTAAAATTTCTTTTCTTTATATATTCGGGATACCAGTCCCTTATCACACATATAATTTACAAATATTTTCTACCATTCTGAAGATTGTTTTTTTTTTATGGCCTTCTTTGAAGCATAAAGATTTCCATTTTGATGAAATCTAATTTATCTATTTTTTTTCCCTTTCATTGTTTGTACTATTGGTATCTGGAACCAATTTCTCTTCTGAAAGTTTCTGGACCATTCATATAGTGTAAAATCAGAACCCAAACTGGGTCAGGCATAGGATTCACAGTTACTTTTTTTTTTTTTTAAGTCTGTATGCATTTAATAGATAATTTTATGTACCAAGGTGGGGGATTTTTTTTCCTCATTTAGAGTCTAGGCAGACAGACCAAATTCCCTGGGCAGATCATTTTAGTCTTCCCTTTCAAATATTACTCAGCAATCAAAAAAGATAAACACATGCAGTTTGTAGCAACATGGATGGAGCTAGAAGGGATCATGCTCAGCGAAATAAGTCAGAAAGAAAAAGAAAAATACCGGATGGTCTCACTCATAGCAGGAATTTAGAAAACCTAAATAAGAGACCAGGAGAAAGACTAATCAATACAAAGTAAAAATCAAAATCAACAAGCAACTATAAACCAGAGACACACTACGGGGGTGGGGGGGTGGGGGCGGAGGGGCGGGGAAAGGAAGGACTAGAGTCAAAATAAGGGGGGGGTGCAATTGTATGGGGAATATAACCAAAATGAAAATGCATACATTGTGCAAAGATGAAAAAAGATGTAAGAATTATATAAAATATTTAAATAAAAAAAAAAAAAGATGGTACAGCCTTCAAGAATCTTGTGCTTATGAGGGGGGCTTCTTAGTTGTCACTCTCCACTTTACACAGATCGAGGCAGAATCTTCTGTGTGGCAGAGGTACCAAACCCCAAGTTCTGGAGCCACCGGATGGCTCTGCCCTCACCCAGCCAGGCAGTCGCAACACCAATGGCTCAGTCTCTTGTCCTGTTAGCCTCTGACATCTGGGACTTGCCTGTTTTCCTTATGGGCATATCAGTACATTTCAAATTAGGAAAAAAAAAAACAACCACCACCATGTATTTTAGCCATAATGTTCCTAGTTAGCTACAGCAGAAGTTTTCTTTTCTTCTTTTTAAAAAATATCTTTGATGGTCTGCCCATTATTGGAGTTAGAACGTCGTTAGGATTTTTCAAGTTCTTTGTCACAAAGATTCAGACGGTTAAGGTAATAAAGCTTTTAAAACCTCCATGTGGTGATAGCCCGTGATCAGTGTGTTTTGGTCTTTTCTTTCTTTCTTTTTTTTTTTTTTTTGTGGGACCCTTGCCGGCGGCCGGGGAACGAACTGGTGCTGCAGAGGCCGCAGGCAGCCTTGCAGCCCAGCGCTCAACTGCTGCGCCACCAGGGGAGGCCCTCTTTTATTTCTAATGTAATAATATCTAACGCCTGAAAGACAGCTGAGGAGCTATCTGATCCAGTCTAGCTGTTCTGCAATCCCTCTTTAAATGCGGGTCCTCTTGGAAGCCTGGTGCCGTGGTGACAGCCTCCCTCCAGGGTTCCCTTCTGCCCCCAGTCCAGGGTGCTCGGGGCTCGTTCAGTGAGCCACTTCTCAGTCTCTGTTTCTCTGCGCTGCTGTTGCAGAGACCTCCTGCTGGCCGACCCTGGGCCTCAGAGAAGGTCAGGCAGAAATCAAGTCAAATCTGCCTAAGAACTTTTGCTCTTGGCTGAAATGGCTGCTTACAGTCTGTGGCTGAAAGTGAATCAAAGTCAAGGGAAGTGAATCTTAGCAACCTTCATGTGCCTGCCCATAATGGTAATGCCAGGTACAGACATATTTGGTGCCTTTGCTGGGAATAGGAGAACGAGTCCACCAGGATGAAGAGAAACCTTTATCCAGCATTTCCCAAACCTTTCATGTCATGATAGGCAGAGAAGTGACACTGGGTGCACACCAGGGAGGCAATGAACTGTGGCCTGCTGCTCTGAGTCCCCAGTGGTGATCAAACCTACCTCCCTGGCCTGGGTCCCTGGAGAGCTGAGGCACCTGCCCACCTTGAGCACCCCTATGATACAGTGCAGTACAAACAGTACCCCCAATCAGAGTGGATACAGGGCAACAGGAGGAGAAGCTGAGAGCCTGGGAGAGCCCACCAGGGTCAGTGGATCACGTCCTTATTTTTCAGAGCCGCCTATATCCTTAATCCAGCCTTCCTTGTGTCTTACTGGCCCCTCAGCATTCTCCATGTCCCCTTGACACCCCCTATGTGTTTTCTGGGTCCTTCCTTAGAGCTCCTAGTAGGCCCAGGTTGAGCAGCAGTCTGGTCAGCCCTGGCAGTGACCGGGCTTGCCAGAAACTCACTCCTGACCCCTGTGCGGTATCTTTCATGGCCTCTGAAGCCATTTCCCAGGCAGGGGAATGTTGCTGGATGCTGTCTTCATCAGGCCACCATGCACTTGGCCTTCCTTACTCATCCTTCTATGTATTGCCCATCAAGTGTACTCTAATTTCTGATTTTATCTTCTACAGCAGTTTTCAGTGTTTCAAAAGTCAATTAACTTTGTGATTTAAAATGATGACAATAGAGGAAGACTTTGCTCATACAATGTTTTAGCACATGGACAGAAGTAGAGTTCTAGTTGGGGAGCTGGGGAGGCCTGGGGCATTCTGAGGGCCCCAGTGTGGACACTGTCTCTGGAAGGGGGTTGGGGGCCACTTGACCCCTTCCTCTCCCATGTGGGTTTCAGGAAAACCTCCTTGATTTTGTCCCCTTGAGCCTGGAGAAAGCAAGGCTTGTCTTGGCTCAGGAAGCCACGTTCACACATATCATTAATCAACAGGAAGTCCTGAGGACCCGGAATCATAACTACCTTCTTAGAATCCCTATACATGCTTGTTGAGCCTCATTGATAGTGAAAATTATCCCTGATTAAAAAAAATAACATTATGAGTCCAGCTGCTGGTAGGATTCATCATTAGTGGCACAGGCCCTAATGAGGTTTTAAGTAATTTGCTGTCGAGGTTGACCTAATTTCTGCATTACAAAAGCGCTGCCACAGACAAAGGTGGGTCAAACCAATGAAATGGCAGGGATGGTAAGCTCCATGTCTCGGGAGACACTCGAGGACAGGGTCCGAGTCTGCAGGCCTGAAGAGCCTTCCCCTCACCTGACTCCCGCGTCCGGCCCCGGACTGCCTCGCTCCAGGGCCCGGCCCCAATGGCGTTGAACGCTTGCATCTGCAGCTCGTACTCCGTCCACTCCTCCAGTTCCTCGATGGTGCACTCCCTCTCCAGCCGATCGTTGATGACTTGGGCCAGCCCTGAAGACTGGAGGTCCAAGCGCCAGTACTTAATCCTGTAGCCCACCGACTCGGGGTTCCCATTGTACTGGGAATCAGGCAGGGGCTAGAAACGGCAATAGTCCATGGTGAGCTGACATCTCAGAACCGTCACCATTAAAGGCCTTCAAGGATGGAGCTCTCTTCTGAGGTCAAGTCTGTGGAAAGTATTTTCTGGGAGGAACATTTTCAGAACTTTCTACTCACCCAGGGACCTTTTCTTTTATTAATTAAATGAAATCCTCTCAGTAACTCTGACTGAAAATAATTTCTTTTAATACATTTTGGCTTAATTTTGTGGGGAAATGTTCTGATTAAATATCAAACTGGCTCTCTCACAAATATTGAGTGTGGTTCCATGCTGACCTGGCTTAAGGACTCACAGAGCCAGGGTGTAGCACCATGGACTGACTTTCTCCCCCAAGGGATACTCCTCAGTTCCAAGAAGCCAGTGAATAATGCCATGAACTAATGAGATAGCCCAGGCTGGTCTGAGAGCCAGCACTGACTGTAAAATGTAATATTTCCTGGTTTAATGATGAGCTTAGTTTTGGCTAGTAAAGGGCATGACAAGATTACTAAGTGCTGGGTGCAAGTATGTCCTCTGGCTACTTGAGACCACTGGCCCTGTCACTGCCACGTGGCCCAGACTCACCACCCAGCGGAGCCGCAGGCTGGTCTCACTAGCGGTCCTGACAGTGATGCTGGTGGGAGCCACGTCAGGAGGGGCCTGCAGCGTCTGGATGACCCGGGATGACTGGCTGAAGGGACTGGCACCAACGATGTTCACCTGCCTCATTCGAAATCTGGAAGTAGAACCACTGACAAGTTATTTCGGGGCAGAAGGTAAAGGGAGTGATATAAAACAAAACCAGACAGAACAAGCTGAGACTGTTTCTCGGGGGAGGGATTGGATATGTGTCTTCCTATATTGTAAAGGCCTTTGCTCAAGGGTGCCCTGTTTCCACCTGGTTTCATTAAAAATGCAAATCACATATATGTCCCTTTCCCCTAAGCCTTTTAAAAATGGTAAATGGATTGCACCTCAACAGTTTCAAGTTCTCTAGTGAAGTGCTATTGGGGAAGTCAGTTGGGCTGACGCAGGTTTAGGAGAGTATCAGGAGGTGTTCAAGAAGCTGTTTAACAGAATTGCAGAATGTGGCCACCAAATGACAGTTCTGAAAGTCCAGTGTTTTTTTAATGATGATGGGCACCCCCATGCCCTATTCTCTGTGGGTTCATGGCCCCAGAGCCCACACCCTGGGACTTGAACCCAACCAGTAACTGTGACCTTTGGGAAATTCAATCTGTCCCTGCTTCTTTATTTCTAAGTCAGATGCTCTTGGAGGTCTTTGTGAAATGTTCTCAGTTCTACTGCCTTATTTACATATACAAACATTTGAATGGAAGTTACAAACAAGAAAAATATCCTAAGCACACATATATTTATGACAGAGGCTTCCTAAACTGACATAAATAAGACAGGGACATTGATCACTAGTCACAATTTCTGATCTTTGAAATAATTATACAAGCTATGCTAATTTCACACCGTAAGTCCTGAATCCCAATAGTTGATTTTATGCTAAATGTTTTCCTCAGACACTGAGAGTACAGCATCTTGATTCATCTGCTCTAAACTCAGAAGAAGGATGTAAAATGAAATAAAAGCTAAACAGAATCTCTCACCAGTTTTTTTTTTAAAAAACCCTAACTTTGGTATTGTACTGAAAAAACATTCTTCCCAAAGATGCAATTTCACCTTTACTCCCTGAATTAGTCATTCTTATTTTTTTATTCCCTGATCTTATGAAATGTATCCATCCTGGCAGAACAATGACATTATCAAACCCAACATCTGGTGATAACTGGAAATTTCATCGCCTTCAATGATCTTACGGGAAGTTATAACATCTCTAACAGCTCATGATGGCTCTCCCCTTTGCTAAGGCCAAGGATTTACTGCCTGGATAAGTTTCAGGATCAAGAAGCAAAAGGTTAAATGGCATGTTAATGTTTGATTAGTGAGTCTAGCAACTCCTGGACCCTGGAAGGGGAAGCAGAAGGCTATTCTGAAGACATCTGTTTTGTGTATAGAAAGCATGTTCATAGTCCTGACAGGTTGTAGAGTTTTGTAAAGAAAAGTGTCCTATCTCTGACTGCCTGTGGCTCTTGCCTATTAAGCCTAATATAACTGTAAGCCATTTCTATCGAGTGTCTCGTCAGCTGGGTTAGATGGAAAGAGCATTGCTAACCTAGCTCTCAGGACATAAACCCCATTGGAGCAATACTGAATTGTGTATCTTCTCTGAAAGGTTCAATGTACTGCTACTGCCATGTGGACACTTTTCACTTACCTGTGCATAAGTGGATTTTGCTATTGCAGACAAAGCCACCTGCTGGTGATGCCAACTTGCCTGCAAAGGCTGATCGCCTGCTGTCTCACCTGTAGTGAGTGTAGGGTGTGAGGTTTGGGATCTCCAGGGTCTGGGCATCGGGCTCATTCTCTTCCTCGTAGAGGCTGACCCACTCCTCTTCATCACCGATGGCTCCTACCTGTGAAGAGGGAGATCCTGGCACCGACTGGACAAGTCTCAGGGCATGCGACTGCCTGGTCCATGGTGACTAGGCTGCGACTCTGGCTGGGCAGAGTCATGTGGTATCCCCTATTTGCAGAGCTACACTGAGTCCTGTGCACACACATACCCCAACTTGTGCCTTGGAGATGCGGCCCCACTGAGTGGTTTTAGCCCAAAGCTCAGTCAGCAGTCATCTCTCCATGCTCCCACTCTGCCCCAAACACACACTAAAACTACCAGTGGTGACCATTGGAAGGTATTTACATAGACAAGGACTCCTTGGGTGCTAGAGGGGCAGGTACACTTCCTTTCCTAGCAAAATAACCATCTTAGGGTAGAACTGACTCCCTCCCAATAGGACATGGCCTTTTCAGGTCTATACAAGTTCAGGTCTATATAAGCTCAGGTCTATACAAGATGGGGAGTCGCTCTCTCAGTTTCTACCTCACTGGGCCTCTGGTCCTGCCCAGGGACCTGCTTCTTGCTGTGTTTACCTTCATCATGAACTTTGCCTCCCCTTGGCCTACTCAGGTGGTATTTCCATTTGGCTCCAACACTCTGGGGCCACACTAGCTGTACTGCTCACTTATGCTGCCCTGGTAATATCCTATTACTCTAACAGGACATCTTCTAATTCTGTCCATGCCAAGCTGACCACACCACTCAAGCTGCCTTGCCAGTGCCATGAGCCCTGTCCCAAAAGAGACAATAGGGGCACCTGAGACCTCCTGCTGGCTAGGATGGCCTTAGGATTCCACTATGCAGGCTTCTGCATCCCTGTCCAGGGCACTCTGGCCTGGTGTGGCTGTGTGGCCCTGGGGACCCAGGGAACACAGGCAAAGAGAAGGCGCTGAGTAGAGTGAGGGTCAGCTACACAAGCCCTGTCAAGGCAGGATCAGCCCAGGGCTTATGCAGCTAACACTTCATAAATGCCTCAAATGACAGCATAGGAAATGTGCTCATTAATTTTGCAGAGAAACCAAGTTGGCAGGTGTCCAGGTCACTGGAGGATGGCATGAGAATTTGAAATGACCTTGGTAAACTGGAGAAATGGACATGGAGGACAAGAAGGGGAATAAGTGAACACAAGTGCCGGATAGCAGGCTTCCTAAAGAAAACTCAAGGCAAAACACAAAACTCTAATTACTTTGACCATTAAAACAGTTTGGAAATTCCTCAAAGAAATTAAGCATAGGGTTACCACATGACCCAGCAATTCCACTTTGAGCGATATGCCCAAGAGAAAGGGAGCCTGGGACTCTAGCAAGAGCGTGCACATCCAGGTTCACGCAGCCCTATGCACAGCAGCAAAAGGTGGAAGCAGCACAAATGTCCATCAAATGGATGAACAGATAAAAACTGTGATCCATCCATAAAATAGAATATTAATGGCCCATAAAAGTGAACGAAGTGCTGATACAAGCTTCAATATGGATGAAGCTCGAAAACATTATGCTAAATGAGAGAAGGCTGACCCCAAAGGACAATAAAGTATGATTCTTTCTCACAAAACATACAGAACAGGTAAATTCAGACATGGAATGCAGATTGGTGCTGGTTGGGGTCTACGGAAGGCGGGAGTGGGAATAGGGGTAGAGTTTCCGCTCAGGATGGTGAAATGTGTTGGATCTAGATGTAAGTGGACTAACTTGTGAAGCGTACACTTTAAAACGGTTAACTTTATGTTATGTAAATTTCACTTCAACTGAAAAAAAATTAAAATGAAATGATTGGTCAAAAGCTTATGGTGGAAAAGATTAGATTCAGTGAGCAGGGTGGATAATGAGCATCAGGGAGGCAGCGAAGCAGCCGAATGGGCCAGAGGATCAGGGCAAGACTCTGTATTGTGCTCAGGAGAGGAAGAGGGGGGACACAAGAACCTTGAACCAGGTGGGCTGGCTTCCTCCTATCTCTCCACCCCCACACCGTGGTCCACAGTGAAGCCTACCTCAGGGGGATGGGAATGAAAGAGACAAAAACAAGACCATGTGGACAGATGGAGGCTGTACAGCGCGCCTGTGCAGGACATGCTCCGCCTTCCGTGGGAAGAACTGTGAGTGCCTGACAGTGTCCAAGGAGGATGGGGAAGGTGGGTGTGCTGGGACCAGAGACTGGAGGGAGTAGTACTGGCCCCCACGTTTGCTTTGTCAACTGGTTCCATGTTATAATAAATTACTAGTTACATTTACTAGTCCCGTAAAGCAAATATGCTACCACACTCAGTTGAATTGTGTGGAGTAAAAAGGACACTCAGCACAAAGTTGTAGTGGTGTCAGAGAGCGAGGTGAGGCAGGTGCATGCTCTCAGTGAAAGGAATCCTCTAGATATTAAATCAAAGCACTTGTGCAATATCTTGGAAAACACATTTAGAGGAAACAAAAAGAAAGGCAGACAAAAAGAGAAAGGGATGATTTCGGGTCTAGGGCAGTCAGCTCCAGAACTTTGATTTAACACCAAACCCTCATCTCAATCAGGGCAGCTGCTGCTCTGTGCACAAGGTGGCTAAGGTGGTCACTTGGCACATGGCCCCTGGGCACTGCTATGCCTTAGCTGCTGTGGAGCTTCTGAAGCTCTTCCTTTGTCTGGGCCTGCAGGAGGGGAACAGATGCATGTCCAGTTTCAGGGACTACCCAAGTCCTTAGGCCTCTCTGTGGGGCATCTACCTCTGCAAAGTCACGCCTTTCTCTTTGTACCCCTCGCCCTACTCTTTCAACCTGGGATGCTTATTTGAGCTCCCCTGGTGTCAGGCCCTGGTGAGAGACCCTGGCTCTCTCACTCTTGACTTTGAAGCCTAACATGGATTTGTTATCTGTATAGTTGATTTGTGGGTCTGGTGGCTGTCCTGACCCTGTGGGCATCCTCTGACCTGCTGAAACACCCAGCACTTGGGAGAGTACTCTTGGCTGCCTGGGCTGCTGTGGGTTGACAGGGTGCAGTGTGCAGGCTCAGCAGTGACCCTGGTTTTCAAAGCCTGTTCTACCCACATGGACTGCAGGAGAACTGGCCAGACCTCTGATGCTCCCTTAGGAGAGGGCATGTAGGAGGCCTCCATGGGCACTAGAATGGCAGAAGATGGGCAGGTAGCAAGCAGCAGCAAGTTGGGTCCACAACTCCATTAGCAAAGACCTGGGGGCAGCAAGATGATGACTCTCTACCTTATCTTTACAAGGAGGAGTGAGCTCCTGCCCTGGAGAACCTCTGAGAAAGGACTCTTTCCTTCGAGAATTCCCAGGCCCCATCATTCTCAGGCAGATGGCCCCAAACTGGCCTTCTAAGAGGTCATTTCTGGTTAACTGTAGGACTTCAGTTTTGCTGAGTGTAGCTACAATGGGAGGGTCAGGACCATTGGACTGTGACAATGGAGAACCACTGAGGCTGACATACAAGGTCAAACCTCTATGCCATTCCATCCAGAGCTTGGTTATCTTTTGTAAAACTTGGATTTGAATGGGTGCCACATTGTCGGCAAGCCCAGGTGGGCGCCACACGGCTCCATTTGGCACTTCCTGCCTCTTTTCCCTGAAGTTGCAGTTTGTCATTACCTGGAGGCATCAATAGTCTCAAACACCTGTCCCCTCCAAATGCTCTTCTCTCTCTAAAATGTGCCGACCCCTTCTGCTCCTTCTCTATGCAGCTGGTAAACTCTCCCAGAATGGGGAGAGCATCTGGGCCTTTGGGAAGCCTCCGTGAACAGCATGCCCTCGCACCCTACTATTCCCCAACCAGGTTGTCAGATGGAATGTGGTAATTCTGTGCTCTCATGGCATCTTCTACCTTCCTCTGATCTGGTGCTGATCGTATCTGTCAAATTATCCACTTAATAGTGTGGCTCTCATACAAATACATAATGCGCATCTAAGATGCATTTTGCTCACTAATGAGGGAACAAACAGGGTGATAAAGCTGGTTCAGAGGAGCGTCAAAGTATGTAGAATAAAAGACAGAAGATGGCATAGAGTTCATGAGTTAGACATAACACAGGTCTGGGTTTGCAACTTTCAATCTTCTACACGATAGTGTCCAACTTCACGGTGGGGGCCAAGTTATGACACAGTAAGGCAACAGACTGACAATACTTGAGGCAGATAACCCTCAGGTAGGCTTATCAAACAGCTCCTAGGACAGAAGTCAGCAAACTATGGTCCATGGGCCAAAAGGGCCCACCTCCTGCTTTTGCAAATGAAGTTTTATTGGAGCATCGCCACGCTTGTTGTTTTGTGTCTTGCCAACAGCTACTTTCATGCTTCACGGTAGAAACAGAGTCGCCGCAGAAACAATTTGGCCCGATGGCCTACAGTATTTACTATCTGGCCCATTATAGGAAAAGTATGCCAGGCCCTGCTGGAACGCGCCATGTCTGCAAGGCCAAGCTCCAGGCAGGTCCGGGACCTGGCTCATCACAGTACCCCGAGCTTCTCCCCAGGGTCTCCCGGCATTCAGTCCAAACAGGGGCCCATTCTGTTGGTTTAACACAAATATACAAATAAACACGTGAAAGATTTCAAAATCAATTGTCTCACACTGAGCTCCAGAAGCAAATTATTGCTGAAAGTATAATTTTGCATATAGATCTCTAGGGGAAAACTTTAGTTTCTATAATAAAAGGTTTACATTTTGATCGGAGAGACCAGGCTTCTTTTTAGTGGGAAATAGAAATCCTTTCATACTTGCTGGGCTTCTCTGGCTTTCTAGTTAGATTCTAAGACCATCATGACAGAGTATTCTAGAAGTAACTGGCTGTTCACTAATGATGCACTGGACATGGAGGGAGGCAGAACTCTCTTAAGGGTAAAATAAATCAGAGCTCTGTGGGGAAGCTGGGATTTTGAAGGGTTTTCTTCTTCTACTAAAACTAACAAACAGCACTTTGCAATACTTGTCACAAAAGCAGAAATACCACACCTTTTCAATGCTACTCGGCAGGGAAGTTGTTAGGACCCATTAGGGAGCACCTGTGCAGTCCATCCACTGAAGCAC